AGTGCTCCCCTAAGTTCCCGAGTGAGGGAAGCTCCTTGGTTGGGGACTTGCAAGATCCAAGCCATTGAGTAATCACGAAACTTCCAAGTACCAAAGTGTGGTGTCGCCTTCACTTGCTTTCTTTGTCATGTAAGTAGATGTGGCATCTTCTCTTGGAAGTACTTTTCCTTCATCCAGGAGTGGTATCTTTGGTTGGCGTTGACGCACAAGGTAATGTATCATTTTCATTTGAAGCTTACTTGTAGTTTTGACTTTGGTCAAGTGCAATACAAACCATATAGTAGGAGTCCCCCAAGTCTCTAAGCAAGGAGATCTGCCAAAGGAGGTGACAGACAAGGTAAGCAATCAAGGTTCCAAGCAATCAGTCTCAGATTGGTAGGTTGATCTTGGGTTCCGGCTGATTGTACTCATTCTCCCTGTCTCTCATTCAGCAATAAGGATAAAGAGAAGAAACAGGGAGAAGAGATGATATGAGGTACTCCTGTTTTTGGAGAAAACGGACAAATCGGCACGTGCTTTGTTGTACTTGACTTTCCACAGGTGTATTCTTGAACTGGGCTGGAGGGTTTTCTGGTTTCCTCCAAAGGAGCGAGCCGACTCCAGAATTTGAGGGTCAAAACAAGTCCGTCAAAACCTGGAGTATGTTCTATCCTGATGATATGGGATACTTTTGTTGTTTGATAAAGTAGTAGATGTGGTATGGCGAAGCTTTGTTCTTCGACGACGGTGCTAGCAAAAGGCTGTTGAGACTTCTCGATCTCTTCAATTAGAGCAATGATGCTGAGCTTGGATTTAACTTAGACTCTTCCGTCTAATTGTGCGGTTCCACAAGAAAGAGCGTCGTGCTATAGTGATATGTTCTAGCTCGCCGTTGAACCTTCTGCTTCAATCTTTTGTATAGCATAAATGGTGCGCAACCTTTGCATTTAAATGGTCCTTAAGAGGACTACTTCTCAGTGACTCATCCATGCTTGGCAGCTTCAGTGTTGTTTGTACCATACTTGACCAATCCCGAAACTACTAAGCACCGGTCAACAGCATACCGTCAAGGACCCACAAGACTTTTCCTCCAACCAGGAGGCCAATCACAACACGAAACATGTCGGTATAAGAAGCCAATCACAGCGCGACACGTGTCGATATCAGAGGCCAATCACAACATGACACGTGTCAATGTCAGAACAAAGCTAGAAACTCTCTTCTATAAAAGGGGATCATTCTCCCACAATAATCCCTAATGTCATTTGTACTAAACTATTCACTATAACTCATAAAAAGAGAGCTTGAACCTATGTATTTGTGTAAACCCTTCACACGTGTTGCGCTGTGATTGGCCTCTGATACCGACACGTGTCACGTTGTGATTGGCCTCCTAGTTGGAGGAAAAGTCTTGTGGGTCCTTGACGGTATACTGTTGACCGGTGCTCAGTAGTTTCGGGATTGGTCAAGTATATTACAAACAGTTTCTAAACTAAATATGTAATTAGAAATGGTTAAATATTTTTGTTAATTAAAAAATTTAAATTTGTTATTATTGAAATAATAACATATATAAAAATCAAAGGGCATTGATCAAAAGTTGAAGAGAAAAAAAAAGTTACAATAAATGAAATATAGAAGAGAAATGAGAACCTAATTTCTTCTTTTAAAGTAACAATTATAATATTTGGAGTGATGGAATTAAATTATGGTCATTGGTAGAATGTTTCTTTTTTCTCCATGACTTCCTTCACTGCTGTCACTGAAATTAAAATACGCAATGCAATTTAAATATATGGCATATTAAATATTTTTAAATATGCGGTGCTACCACAAACCGACCTTAGCTCAGTTGGTAGAGCGGAGGACTGTAGTTGGTAAATCATCAGATATCCTTAGGTCGCTGGTTCGAATCCGGCAGGTCGGATTGACTTTTTTTTTTCCCCAACTTTCTCCATATTTTATTTACCGAAAAAATAATTCCTCCACTTTTGGACTCGTATATTTAAACTTTTATTTTTAGCCTAAGGAATATCATATTTTTTTATAGGTGGTTTTGTATAAAATCAATTAAAAGTTATGATATTAACAATAGGTCAATCAAATTTAAAATTACAAATGATGCCATTACCATTTAAAACACCAAATATTTTCATCTCCTTTATTGTAAATCGTGCCTCCCACCACCTTCAGACTTCAACCTCCATTTTTTGAACACTGTAACGCATTGTCTGTTTCCTGTTCCATGATTGTGCATTCGAATTCAGATAGGTTTGTGGATTCAGACACTGCATTTGCAGTGTCTATTTCCGATTTTGTGGATTCAGACACTTTGTTGTCATGTCTATTTCCTATTCTGTGATTGTGCATTCGGATTCAGACACTTCTTTACGGTGTCTGTTCCATGTTGTGTGATTGTGCATGGAGATTCAAATACGTTTGTGGATTGCAGTGTCTGTTTCTTGTTCTGTGAATTCAGACACTTTGTTGCAATGTATATTTCATGTTCTGTGCTTTTACGTTAACATGCTTTTACAGCGTCGGCGTCTCAATCTTCACCAACAAGCTGCAGTGTCTATTTCATGTTCAGGGGACATGGCACGCGAGGGTCTCCTTTGTCGACGGAGATCTCATCGGTGCCCTTTTGGATCCGCTTCAGAGCAATGTTGTGGAGGTGCTTGGAGGGGATGATGGCGACTTTCTCAAGGATCTTGTTGTTGGTGTGAAGTCAAGGGCCATGCGCCAGTAGCAGCGGTTGATCACCCAGCGGGAAAATTTCTTCACTGATTTTGTGCAGATGCAACCCATGGTGGTGGATCCCAAAGGAAACAAGAAACTGAAACAAATTTGGTGGTGGAAACAAGAACTGGGTTTTGATCCTAGAGGAAGATAGGCGGTGGAAATAGGAATTTGGGTGTTTGGTGGTGGATGGAGGATAGGAATTTGGTTTGGGTTTTTTATATTTTTATTAATTAAATAGTTAATTATGTGACATTCATCATTGACTTATGCTTAATTAATAAAAATATATCATTGATTAAGTCCAAAATAAAAATATGTCATTGATATATGGCTTAATAGTTAAGTTTTTATTGACCTTTGGTTAAATTACCTTTTATTATAAATAGCATTAGGATTGACCATATTTTATTGTTTATAGCATTAGGATGACCATATTTTAATTTTTGAACAGTTTTTTCAAGTGAATTATTTACAAGGGATGGTATATGAATCTTTGAACCGGTGGATTCGAATCGTATTACTCGGCCGATGTAAAACCATATGATTTTTATTTTTAATTTTCAAAACGGTCCGAATTGGAACTGATTTGTGTGGAAACGAATCTAAAATCGAGTTTATATTTCTTTTGTGCGGATAACCTAGGCAAGGCCGTTTAAGGGTAAGCACTAAGCACAAAGCACAAAGCATATACCATGCATGTTCTAAATCTTTCGTACTTTGCTAGCATAAAAGAAAATTGTTCAGATTAGCGAAGCCTAAAACTAAATTTTCATTTCCATAACAATGCTTTCACTGTGCCATGATCTGTTGCTTTCTAGTGCTAGCATCAAAATAAGTTTTCTTTTTTTCTTACAAAATATTAGTTGTGTAAGTATCACTATCAATAAATATTTAGATTCCTAATTTGCTATCAAATATTATATTCATTGATCCTTTTTTTTATTTATTTATTTAAAAAAAAAAAAAAAAACAATTGATGACAAGCCACGATTATTCACCTTTTTCAAAGGCCGGAAAGACTCATAAAGGCATTTCAATCTTCCCCTAGCCACAAGTCTAGCATTCACACCATTAGTGGATTTCAAATTCAAGACTTCCAGTTTTTAATTTGAAAGAAATCTCACAATCCGTTATTTACCACTGAACCACTAGCTCGTGATATATGTTCATTGATACATTAGATTGCTAATTTTTGTTATCTTATTTATCTTTTTGCAGATGGGGTTATCAAGTATCACAATTAATTTATCGCAAATAAATGATATATATATATATATGTGCACGCATGTTTTTTATGCAAAGGGATGCTCATTTTTAAAAAAAAAAATAGGAATTAGGTATGAGACCCACTCCACATTGAATTTTAATAATTTAAACCATCTATTTTGTAAATCTTAACTCATAGATCATCATTGCAAAAAATTCAATTCAATCCGAAACCATTTACCTATTTAATTATTAAGATAAAATTTCATTGTTTTTTATATAACAAAGTATTCGTCAATTTTTTTGAACCCAATTAAATATCTTAAATATTTCCAAGGCTAATATTTTACAAAAATAATCTATAAAGTGCAACTTGAAAAATAGACGGTTGGATTGTTAAAGTTTGATATGATGTGAACCCCATAACAAATCCCCATTTTTATAAAACAAAAATAAAAATAAAAAATAGGAATCCCTTCCCTTGAAGGCTTCCTATATGTATGATTGAAATGAAAACGCATACAACACATGATTGAAACGAATCAATTCGACCCATAAGAACCGGACCATATTAATTGGATCCAAATAAACCGATTCCACTAAAAAAAAAAATACACAAACTCGGACCGACTCAGACTCCTTTACAAAAAACAAGTCAAGTCCGAATCCATTAAACATGGACCCAGCTCTATTCACGCCCACCCCTAATTTACATGTAGGCGATTAAGTTTTAAGTCTTAAGGGATATGGGTCAAGTTATAAAATTGTGTACAGGAGAAATTAAAAACGCACCATATGAACGTTACAAAGGCAGGTGAAAACTCATGGATTCATTTACAAATATCTCGTACAAGCATTTGTAATGCTCATATCATATAGCATTTCTAGTTCCTCCAATCTAGTAGTTTTTTATCCATCTCTTACTAAGTTGGCATCTCTCTTGGGACTTGAAAAATCCCACACCCAACGATAGCCTAAATTTTAAGTGTAATTTTGTAGAACACTAAAAGCGAAGGGTATTTTCCAAGGATTTTTTTTTTTTTTTTTTTTTTTTTTTTTTTTTGGAACAATCGGAAATTTTAATTTTCTTATTTATAGAACTGTTCCTAACCTACAAAACATAAAAAGTAATATTTACAAAACAGTTAAAAACCTTACCATTAGGCAAAAATTGAGCAACTACACACCTGAAATGATCATCTCTTTCCTGAAAGCTTGGTACTGAAGAGTTGCAGTTTGTCACCACTTAAACAACTAAGTAGACCTTGTTTTATCGCCGGACTGTACTTCAGATCGCGAAGAGGATCTTTCTGTAATTTAAGGCGCTGTAAGGTCGTAAAAGACGGTAGCTCTTGTAAGACTAATTCAGAACTCAACTTATCCTGAGAGGCAAACAATGTCCTATGATTTCCAACGTTGATGATTGCAGATTTTGGAAGCCCGATATCACATACATTGGTGCATGCAGAACCCAACCTATCAACACAGTTGATGTCTGCTCTCTTCAAGAGAACATGGGAACCCACTGTTCCTTGTCCAAAGCCACCACGGGTAGGAGTAAGCTGCGGTTGAGACAAGAGCGTCTCATCAGGCATTTCAACTTTGGGACGGTAGGAAGCAACAATGTCATCATTGCTAGGACAATACGCCAGTGATATGCAAACTCCTTGATTCTCGGTTTGAGGGACTAATGTCGGCCTTCATTGAGTTTGATTTTAGTCAGAACGGATTGATGCAGTAATTAATTCAATAAAATTAGTTTAATTATTAATCTATGACTTCACAGCCGCACCTACTTTTACATTATAGAAAGAAAATTTCATGTTGCTTTGCAAAATATGACATGAACAAATTGAGAAGCATCATTTTTCGTCCTCGGCGAAGATGGACAACCAAGGAAAAACATTTATTCTTGCCTTTTAATTACCAACATGCAAATAGACTATACTAATGTTTGAAATGGCATCACTCAATTTCAGGGTACAAATTTTTGTTTAAAAAAAATATATGAATGAAGTCAGACGGGCATTCACAAGATTTCATAGACAAACAGGAAAGATAAGGACACAGATATGAACTCACCCTTCTTCGGCACAACCAAAGTTCCACAGACATAAGCCAATCGAAGAAGCGGAGAGCACCGATCTAGCACCAGAAGGAAGAGCTGAATTATGTGAAAGGGAATGTACAGTATGAATTGGGTTATTTGAAAGCCCTCTCCGAGATTCAACAGGCCCTGCGGTTCGGCGCATGTCAAACACCCAAAGAGAGCCATTCTGCAACAATACAAGTATAAAAAATTAAAGCAGTGGGTATACAAAATAACCCCTTCAAGATACTTAAAATTCAAATTACGGTTGTAACCAAAAACTCAAGGTACGGACAGACCTGTAAACCAGCATAAGCATAATATGGATTGTTGAGATCCCATGAACATGTCCAAGCAGCAGCCTGCAAGCACAAATGTTAACATGAAGATAAAACAATAGAAGAGTCAAACAGACTGTTTAGCATATTATGCCAAGCACTGAAAATAACAAATGAAACAATAGAATGAAGAATAATGATATCAAGATACAAACGAACACCTGCTATGCAGACGAAAGTTAATGTTGGGCACATCATAATGTGACATATTTACGAAGTAAGTAAAAGAGATTCTAAATAACACAGTAGTACCATCGCCACTGCTCTATATGCACTAGAGAGTAGAGACCATGAACCACTAGGCTGAAGATGCCCAATCTGTGCCAGCTTGGCCTGAAACAGGTCAACCACCAAGCGAATGTGTAGTTTGAGCTTTAGCTCAAACAAACCATTTGAATCAGAATGGGGCAGTCATCTCTAGGGATTCTAATGATCAAGTAATAACTCTTATTATCTTACAACAGAATAGCATTCCATTACGAAGAAATTATAGGTTAAGTGGCATGCTTTCACATTCTCAACGAAAAGCCAATCCAAGAAACATGATTGGCTGCTAAAATGATAGAAGCCATACAAATAATAGGCTGAAGTATATTAAGTGCTCATTTTCTGGAATCAGATCCAAATCAAAACTATAACTGGCTTTCCACTAAATCCAAAAGGTAAAAGCTCCACCTAACTAGACTGAATCAACCCACTTCTAACTTTCACATTCAATGAAAGTTGTGTTACATCACATATTTTCCTAATTACCTTTTAACAAATATAGTTTCTGAATATCAATATTGTATCTCTTGGAACTTACTTTTATTTCCTTGAATATACACACTAAAGATTGCCTTGAATCAAAAGGAAAAATAGGGAATTCCATTTTATTTTAACAGATATAATCATGTAAAAATCCTTTAACGCTGTGTCATACAGGAACATAGAAATTTAAGTTGAAGCCAAAGTACTCAAACCCTTTACAAATAGTTAATACACAAGAAAAATGATGGTCAATAGTTTTACCGGTAGATCATAGGTAAGGATGACATTGTTGCTTTCCATACTGTAGCAAATAGAACAACTAAGTTAACCAGAAGAAATATATGAATAAAGTAAAAAATAACCGTGGGGTAAGTTGATCGCAATCCAACCTGAGAACTGACAATTTCTTCCCCAAGCAAGCAAAGAGTGCAAGATCACTGTTAGAAGAAGAAATGCGTAGATCCCTAATGGCTCTTGTATCTCTAGGAAGGAGAATATCATCTCTGTCATACGGAGGTATCAAACTCATCTACAGAGCCATATTTAAGAAAACTTTGTGAGAGCAGTTCCTATGTTGTATATAGACAATGCAGCAAAAGCACAAATTTTATTGAATCCTAGAAACTTTACCTTGGTAAGCACATGTCTTCCCCCTATCCCATCCAGCCTTCGTGAAATCAAAATAATTTGGTTAGATTCATCAACATCAAATAAACGAGCACCATCTACCTGCAACTCCTTCTGCAAAGTTCATTATTACAAGGTTAACTATTTTCTTCTGTCGAAATAGTGAATATTATGACCTGAAAGTGAAAAAAAAAAAAACTCCTGTCATTGCAGAATAACAACTGCTTAAACTGTATCTTAAGAATATCATCTACTTTATCATTAGCCTTCCAAGCCAAGTTGCTTCATCTTATCCACTTCCAATTAATTTCTGTATCAGCATAACATTTCAAGGTAATTTCTTTTGCCATCTAGCATAACACCTTTGCTCTGTATTTCCTCTACCTCAGCTATATAAAACTGAAATTGTTTCCCATACTCATTTGTTTTCACACTTTGACCAACGTTGCTATCTTTGTTGGCAAGAATGATTATTTTACTGCTTCCTCTTCACCAAATCCACTGAACAGAGTGAGTCAATATCACAGAAAATCTGGGCAGAACTATGCATCCAGAAAACCATGTCTTTTTGCTGATACAGACAATATGTGCAGGTCTAGTTCACACAGAGAACAGTGTGTATATTTGTGTAGTATCTTCGTTTGGATGATGAAAAAACAGGAAGAGTATGAAAGAACATAGCATAAGAAGAAGGAAAACTGCCACACCTCTAATATGAAATTGCAAGAATATGCTTGTCCACAAAACTTTGATCCAAAGTTTCGCCCTACAACACGTAATGAAAGAAAATTAGACACAATCCAGGATGCAAAGAAAGTTTTTTGTGCCATGATTGTAATATTAACTACTATTGGAATCTATGGGTTCGTTTGGAAGTGCTTTCAAAATAACAGAAAGCATTTTTGGTGAAAATGTTTTTGGAACCAATCCTTAGTAAAAACGCAAGTCAATCCTGGAAAAGCACTTACTGGAAGAAGCACATAACAAGAAGCACTTCAAGTGCTTTTGGAACCCAAAAACATTTTCTCTTATGGCGCTTTCAGTCATTTTAAAAGCACTCCCAAACTAGCCCTATAATATCTTTCATCCAGAAAACCAAAATAATATATAAACATGAATAAATTGACCATAGGATCTTTCATCTAAGATTTTTTCACCAGCCACAAATCTTCCTTCACGGACCCCATTAGCATTGACTACTCCAGATGTTCCGTTCTGTGTGTCTCCTAATAGATGCTCCAAATAAGCTGCCCTCTAAAAAGTCAAAAGTTTAAAAACCAAAAGTAATAGAAAATGCACTCCAAACATAGAGCATATATATTTTCAATGGAAGTACTCCAATCATAAAGAATCAAGAGGTCAAATATACCTCTGTAAGATGTTGAACTTTATCTTGCAGTTCAAGCTCTCGCTTTCTCCATTGAACTTCTCTCTTACACCAAGCAGATTCCTATTTATAAAAGGAAAAACTGTAGACTTTCTAAAGATGATAACAAATGAATAATGAAATGTTGCACATGTCACTTAGTTCACATATAGGGTAGATTCAGGTTGGACACAACTTTTTTCATTTCTTCCTTCAAAATATGTTGAATATTGTGAGTCATTGATTTCAATCCAATCCTAGAGACCATAAGGATATAAGACAACATGCATACCTCTGACTATATCCACACTTTAAACCACAAAAATGAAGAAGGATATATGTAAAATATCTTTACCTTCTTCTCAAGAGAATCACATTTAGCCTCAAGTGACCGAATTCTCTAGAAAATAAAAAAGAAGAGTCTGTCATTCACAATTAACCACATAAGTTTCTATTGAAAAGAGATCAGCCTGAAGAAATTTGATCTCACCTTTTGTGACTCTTCATCAACAGAAACAATTTGGGATACAAAAAGTTTCCTAACATCCTTCAACGCGCATTTTTTGTTGCATTGAGGACACTGAAAAAAAAAGAATGTACAAACATGAATATCAAAACAAAAAGAAAGAACTTTCAAATAACTTGAAAATTAGAGAATTGTAATTACCTTCCCCGAATTGCTACGCTGCTGTAGCCATCGTTTTATGCAAGACATGCCGAACAGGTGTCCACAAGGAAGACAACTGCAATCCTCAAACCAAAACACCAAAATTCAATAAAAAAATACTCTAAAATTTTAGACTGAAGATGTTTACCAAAGAAAAATAAGACCGAAGACAAACATTCGAATCCTCACCACATCAAACAAGCAACAAAAATTGACGAGATTGCAAAGAACTGAGGTATGAATTCGACCTGATATGATGATCACCGTCATTGGTCCAAGGCTCCAAGCAGATAGAGCAAAATAGCCCGTCCATTTCGTTCCGATTCCATTGGCTGCTGCTGCCTTGGGAGCACTCTGCACTGCCAACTCCATCCACCGACACCGCTTCGCTTCCTCCACTCCTTCTACGCTTATTTCCAACTTCCTCATCCCCATTCCTCGCCGCCGCGGTTTCAGGAGCACTTCCGGCTGCACCGGTTAGATCTGCATGGTACACAGCAGAATCAGCGTCCACTGTGCCTTCTTCTTCCTCGTCTTCTTCTTCTTCGGATTCGTCTTCTTCTTCTTCAGATTCGTGTTCATCGGATTCCTCGCTGAGTCCTCCGTCAACAAGATCAATGAAGGATAGGATAGGGTTTGCCATGAGTGTGCAATTGCATATAGTGTGGTGTGCCCGTGAGAGTGATTGAGTGAGTGAGAATTGGGGGAAAATTGCCTGGCTAGGGTTTTGAGGTGAGACAAGGAGAGAGAAAGGGAAAGGAGGGAATACAATATTTGTTTTGGTGGGAAATCAAAAACGCTCACATTTCTTTCGTTCGTTTTCTTTCTTACAAATTTTCAAACGCCAGCATTTTCAGTGGAGATGCCAAAAACAGACGTCGACTATGAATTTGAAACCTTACGTGGTAATGTCGAATTTTCTTTTACTTTAAGTCATATATATATATTTATTTATTTATTTCAATTAATATTTGTAGGGTTCATTATTCAAAACAAATAAATACAAGAGTAATGCTAGTAACACTTAATTTGAAGACTAAATTTTGGAAGCTAAAGAACATAAAAGTTGATAATTGGTTTATTACTTAAGCGTTGATAGATGTGTTCATTTCTATTGGTGACACATCATTTAGTTTACAATTTTAGTTTCCAAATTTAGTCTCCCTAGCATTACTCTAAATACAAAGTAATTTTTACGATTTATGATTGGTGCATTATTAGGACCCACACAACAAAACAATTAAAAAATAATTTGATATTAGATCTTTTCATATTTCAAAATTGGCATCACACAATCCAAATATGGTTGACATATTGGTTGAAGCTTCTATCTGCCTTCAAATTTTATTATGTAGCATTCTCCTTAGAATTTGACATCTCATTTGGAGATGGTCTAATAGACAAAATGGTACTCGTGGTTGTGGAAAATCCATATTTAGACCCTTGTGGTGAAGTTTGTTAGAATTTGAGTCCAAAAACAAAATTTTTGTTACCTCTCTATTAACCCCTAGAAACAAAATGTTCATTACCGTTTAGATGTTGGGTAAATGCATAAAGCTTAAATGTAGAGACTTGGGATCCCTAACCCCATCAACATTTTGGGTTTAATTCCTAATGGATTTCACCCTAAGGATTTAAATCTAATTTTTTTTACCACATCGGCTATCTCCCAAATATCTTATCACCACGATGACCATTTGTCCAATTAGGCCATATTTAAAATCCAAAAATTGTAATTTGTTTTTTATGTTTTACTTTCAAGACACTCTAAAAATTTAATTGTGCATTCTTAGACCAACTCAAATAGTTGAGTTAAAACTCAAAATTTGAGTTTTAACTCCTCAAAACTTCTCCAATCATTGGGCTAAAAAAATTTAAATTGGGGTAAAATTTATTGTTGAGCCAAATTTAGCCTAGAAAATGAGCCAAGAATAGTGGCTAGAACTCCACGATGAGACCTAGATATTGATGTTGTAGGCCATTTGTAAAAAGACAACTATTTGTTTTATCTAAAGGTCCACGTCGTTGGGCTGTTTCCAAATTCAATTTTTTTTTAAAAAAAAAAATTTAGAAATGCATTAAATACAACAGCTGAGATCAAATATGAACAAATCTAACAGTAAAAAAATATTACAACCCATAATTAAATCAAACGGCTAAAATAATTAAAATAAAATATTTAAATCAAAATTCACCCAAAAACTATGTAAATTTCTTGTATGTGTTTAAACATCCACACAATAATCATTTTCGTCATATAATTCTTTTTTTCTTTATACCCACCTATGTATTTGTGTTTAAGAATGGGGTAGGTTGTGTGATTATCCATGTTCTTTCATGCATTGCATGTGTGTACGAATGAGATAAGTTTAATGATTTTTCATTATTTATCGAAAGTTATTCGTATTTTTTCACATCACTTAAGTTTCGCCACCTTCCAAGTGTTAGCCAACACCATGTACCGTAAACAGTCCCCTAATTTACGTTTTGGATTGAAAGATTTACCATGATTTAGAAGTGTTGCATTCTCGTGAGAAAATCTTTTTACTATTCCCGGAAAGATTTTGCATACGGTCTTATCGGTCTAGAAAATGATCAGATATTTATACCATGCTCATTTGGGTTGGAAGATGATTTTAATTTTTAATATATGGGATATTGGAAGATAGAAAATCGAACTGGGAATTTCAGGCGTAGGGATGAATGCTCTTAACACTTGATAGGAAGTTACGATAATCATTTTGCTTCGGTTTGTTTGCTTAATCTAATCTTTTTGCAATTGACAGAAGAAAAAGATCAATCCATTCGCAATTGTTTGCTTAATCTATCTTTTCCCATTCGCAAATGGCATGTAACTCAAGAAGTTGTCAAGAGCTTTTAACTTTGCATATGAAATTTTGTATTTAGTCCCCCTCTCCCAGTATCGATTGTATAAAAAAGTTGAAAGTAAACCTACTCGACCAACAAAAAGAGAACAAAAACTATAAACGACTCGATTATAAATAACCAAGGTCGTTGGGGATGGATACAAAAGTGTGTTAAAATGGCAATGTATGTGCACATTGCAATGTCTTCCCTTCTTCCATAAGCTTCCCTTCGATATGCACACATAACCAGTGCGAGCTCCGTTGACACAGTCACACAGATAATATAATTACAACCCATACTTTATTGTTTGTTTATAAACAAACAATATTATCTACACTAAGGAGAGGGAAAGTGGGCCAATCCTCACAATGGGTCAGCCATAATAATGTAGTTCAAATTCGCCTTTAGTGAGAATCGAACCTAAGATCTCTCACTTACAATCCATACTAAGCATCCGAAGGATGAGGCTAAATAGAAATAGTATTGAAAACAGCTGTAAGGACAAACCAACATAAGCATGAGCCTAGTTAACATGGCCAAGGAATAGCACATCATAAACATAGCATAAGATATCTATCAAGTTATATACCAGATCCAATCGTCACGTTCAAAGACAAAGCCCGAGTTGAATATCCATGAACAAAGCCAAGTCAAGAATTTCTATCTGTATCCAAACTACGAGCAAGTTGATCAGCGAATTTTTCTTCCATACCCTTCAGTAGGTCACCAAGTTGAGCCCAAATAGCGGAATTAGAAGCAGAGTCCATCAGTGGATGAGAAGCACCAAAACCCGTTACTCATTAGTATCACTAATTAATTGGAAAGACTAACCTCAAAGCTAAATAACTGATATGATTTCCAAAAAGGCAATAGATACTTCCCATGATAAAAATGGGAAGGGATGTAACCTAAAACTATGGAAGCATTGAAACGTGAATTCTGATATTTGTGGTAAAGAAAAAAAAACATTACGCTGGAGGGATATATGAAAACTGACAAGAAACAGAAATAATAGAAAATCAAATACCTTTTAAACCAAAGATTAAAAATGTAGTTATATACAATGAAGTTTTAAAAATACCTTCGTACGTTGTTCATCTTTAAGCTGCAGTTTAGCTTCGTTCTTGCGCAACGCAGCAAGCTGCACATACAATGAAATGCCTAAAATCATATATACTTACTAAACAAGCTAACTACTGAATAATGGAAGACAACTCCTTTCCATATACCATTGTCTGTGTATGTTCGTACACGCATATGCTACATAACATACACATACACCTGCGTCTGTATCTATGATTTACTAAACCAACAAGAAGAACAATGCACTAATTGTGACGGAAACAAAACAACCTACAAGACATACATTTCACTCAAGTCAGAGAATATTCTTACCTCATTCTCAAGAGAAGCACATTTATCCTTGAGTTCCCGAATCGTCTACAAGCAAGAACAATCCATCATTCAAAATAAGTGAACTCCACATCAGTTCAAACCGAAAATAAATCATCCTCGTTATACCTAACAATACCTTTTGCTTTTTTAATTCATCATCATCAACAGAATCATCCCATGGATATGATACGAAAAGTTTCAAAACATCCTTCAACTTGCATTTTCGGTTGCAGATAGGACACTGAAGGGAAAGGGAAATGCACATTCATCAATGTCAAACAGAAACATTTTCAAACAGCTCGAAAACTACCATGGAATCGTCAGATAACATCGCTACCTTCCCGGTATCTTTATGCTGTAGCCATCTGTTTATGCAAGACATCCCGAATAGGTGCCCACATGGAAGGGAACTGAAATCCTCAACCAAAATTTAGCAGATTAATTAATTTCAAAAATTCAGATTAAATGAACAAATGCAGATTAAGAAATTGAAGTTTGGGTTCCAACCAGATGCGGTGATCACCCTCAACGGTCCTAGAATCTAAGCAAATAGAGCAAATCAAGCCCTTTTTGCTGCCAATTCCACCCGCCGCCGCCGACGTTTCGGGCCCTCCTATTCTTCTCCGCTTCTCTCCGCCTTCCTCGGCCCCACCCGACTGTTCCGTTTCGCCGGCAATTGCGGCAACATTAAAAAAATCAGCTTCCATAGTCTCGTCGCCAAAATCTGTTTGGTCAGCTATTTCGGCAGCACTTGGAGGAACACCGAACCCATCCTCGTCCCCGGAATCAGTTCCGCCAGCATTTTGAGAGAAGCTAGAGGCTAGCAGTCGGGCAAGGTACTGTTCATAGTCTAAGTCGTCGTCTGCGTTTTCGTGTTCTGGATGATCGTTGATCGGCAGCTCTGGGTGTTGCTCCTGTTGGATTTGGTCGTCGTCGTCGCTAATTTCGATGTAGGAAGGGTTAATGTATGCCATGGGTGAGCTTAGAGTTAGAAATGGTTTCACCTAAGCCGTAGAGGGTTTCAGGCTGAAATTGAAAGGGCGAAAAGGGACATGACTAAGGTAAACCATGAAGATGGATCAATGGGTCATATCTTCCAACTTCCATTGTTATTCCAACTTAATCAGAAGAACACTTGAACCTTATATATGGAGCGAAGTTCTTATTTAAGTTCAAAATATCATGGATGCATTTTTGCTCACCACTTCGACGACGGTGTTAATGCTCATCACCTTAATAAGTTAAATTTTAAGATTGGCTCAAATGTCAATATGGTATTTTACGTGTTTGGTCAATTTGGTATCTATTATTTTAATTTGACTGATTTAGTCCTTGTATTTTAAACAGTTTGCAAATTTGATCAAATCTATTAGTTTACTATTAAATATTTTTAGGTTTTTATCATAAATGGTCATTGAAATTGACCATCATCATCAAGATGATCCCTGAAATTAAAAATCAATCAATGTAGTCCCTGAAAATAGATGTCGCAAATCAATGTGGTCCTTCTGTCACAATTCTGTTAAAAATTCCTTTAAGTGCTGATGTGGCACATAAATGGGCCCTACAATATTTGCTGTTTTTTTTTTTTAATCACAAATGGTCCTTGAAATTGACCCACACTATCAATATGGGTCATGAAATTAAAAATCAATCAATGTAGTTTTTTAAAATAGGTGTCGCATATCAATATGATCTTTCCGCCACTATTCTGTAAAAAAAATTATTATGTGTTGATATGGGTTTAATAATCAATAAAAAAAAAAGTTGTCTAAATACCTTTTTGTACAATGAAATTTTTCTCTTATAGTAGGGCCTACTTCGAAGAAAGATCCCTTCCATAAATTCTCAAAGGCACAAGGCTTAACCAAGGCCTAAGAAGGGGTGTGGAAATATTTTTCAACCAACAATAGATGCCCTCAGTTATAACCTCATTATCTCAGAACAAACCTCGTCGTTCTTTGCATCAACAGACCACCAGGAAAGTGCCGAACAAACTCTCTAAGATTAAGATTGTGAGGATGTTGATCGCCTAAATGTTAACGATGATGTCCCAGAAATCGTTGCCAATGGGTCAAGCTATCACCAAAGGTGATCTCGATCCAAGTTCAATTCTGTGAAGGGTGTCGAAGTGCGTAAAGATGAGTGTATTGGTAATTTTTTTTTAGAGAATAGACAATGAAAGAGATAGAGAAATGTAGACAGGGATTGGAGGTGATTGCATGACTGGGTTTTTGGGTTGACAATTTTTTTATTAACTATTAAATTATTAAACATATTTGTATTTTTTAATTTAATTGGATTTGTGTGACCCATTTATGTGTCACATTAGTACATAACAAAATTTTTGACATAATTGTGACGGAAGCGCTACATGGATTTGAGATACTTACGGAACTAGATTGATCAATTTTCAATTTCAAGAACCATTTTAATGTTGTGGGTCAATTTCAATGACCATTTGTGAGAAAAATGACTTATGGGACCCCATTTATGTGCCACATCAGCTTTTAACATAATTTTTAACAAAATTGTAACGAAATGAACACATTAATTTGCAACACCCATTTTCATGGACTACATTGATTGGTTTTCAATTTCATGAACCATCTTGACGGTGAGGGTCAATTTCAAGGATCATTTGTGATAAAAACACAATATTTTATTTTAAATTATTAAAAACCCTACTTATTTAAAAAGCTTGAAAAGCTCAATGTAAAATTAAAAAAAAAGCGGAGATTAAAAACTCAAGGCAACATCTACAACCATGAACATGAAGTGGAAAGGGAGATCCACAATGAGGAGAAAGGGAGATCCACAATGCGGAGATGAATCATATTGTTGTCATATAGGATCTACGCTACCATGGCAGCAGAAGGTGAAGAGCACGCACCATCGACGTATCGCTGGAGATATGACGCGAAATTCAATAGCAGGTGGGAGAACATGGCCCATATTGACACTTAGCACTCGGTCATTATTCACGTAGATGCCACGATATTAGTTAATCATTGATTTAACAGCAACCTCAACAAATGTATGAAAGTATCCTAAAATTATGATTTTGTATACCATTCTAAAATGAAAAAAACCTTGATATATCAAATATTGAAAATCAGTAAATTTGACAATAATAAATTGAGATTAACCCTAAATTTACTTGCATGCAAAAGCAAAAATGTCAAAAGAAAAGTGAAGGAAAAATAAAGGGGCGCGTGAACGAGGATTTTTAGCCCATAGTTCTTCATCTTCCATTTTTGGCTGTGATTCCTGCAGCAACCAATAGAATCGACATGGCTAAGAGCATCTCCTACATTACAGGCTCTCAGCTTCTCTCCCTCAAACCCCGCCCCAACATCGCCATCATCGACGTCAGGTAACATCACCTTCTCTCTCTTACTTCTGAGATTTTGATTTTTTTGGTTAAAAATTTGATTTGGTAAAAAGGGACGACGAGCGGAGCTGCGACGGGCACATAGCAGGATCTTTGCACTACCCGAGTGGGAATTTCTACGACAAGATCTCCAATCTCGCTCAAGATGTCAAGGGCAAAGACACCCTCGTTTTCCACTGCGCTCTTAGCCAGGTTCGCAAACCCTTCCCAATCATGGATCATATCTTTCCATTTTGTTTCTGAGATTAATTTGCATTTACCCAATTTACAATTTCTTATTATTTTTCCTGATTTGTGCTGAAATTTGAAAGCTTGGGTTGCCTAGAAACAGATTGATTTGAGATATAAATGGAGTTTTCGTTGCTTAATAGCATGTTCTGAGGGCGTGTTTGCTTAGAAATAGGGGAAGTAAGCAACCTAGTTGATCTTATTCCTCGAATTTAGGTATTTGATTACGGATTTCAAAGGGGAAGTTATGAAGTGAAATGATTTTCGTACCCAAAATTTAGTCAATATGGAACTTAAGAATCAAAATGATTCGAATTCTTATTTCCCGTAAACATGTCGTTTAGTGTTAATGGTTTAATTAAAGCATGCTCTAATATACTCATTAGCATGGTTTTCTTGGCTTGTTTTGGAACTGAAAGCATCTTCAAATGGATTTGTTGGATGTTATAATTAGGAATTTTGGTATAACCCAGAAGCAATTCTCTTTTTGCTTCGAACGAGCACGCAAGTCCTGTATGTATCTAGCTGAGCAGCTTGATCCTGCCTAGAAATTGTATGCTCTTGAAAAGTTGAAAGTAGGAATCGTTGTTTGATATGTTTTGTATCTGCAATTCAGTATCTTTTTGGATGAGGAATCAGCTTACTGCTATAGCAGAAAGATCCATTTTTTTCTGACTTCTAAATTTTAGAGTTTTCTGATTGTATTTATCGCAAATTATTGAGTCAGAACTGTTCCGTGAAGTTTAAACAAGCTAATGCAATTCCTTTCTATAGTCCCATATCCTCGAATACTCAACTGCTGTCATAAATCATAATATCTGCTACCCCCTTTAGCTGGTTGAAGTTTTGAACTCCGTCTACTTTTGTATTTTGTAATTATGTTTCTTTGGTTAAGGAAATGAATTAAGATCCTGAGTTAACTTCACCCACAAAATTTATTATACTAGTGATTACCTTTCTTTCTTTTAGTCACCCTCTCATGGTTGAAGTCTTTTTTGAAAGATTATATAATGCTGCAAGTTTTGCGATGGTTTTGTAGGTTCGGGGTCCATCCTGTGCACGAAAGTTTGCCAATTACCTTGAAGAGGTGAAGGAAGAGACTGGAATCAAAGACATTTTGATTTTGGAGCGTGGCTTCAATGGCTGGCAAAGTTCGGGTAGACCTGTTTGCCACTGCAACAGCATTCCCTGTAAAGGCGAGAGCGGGAGTGCGTAATGCGTGATTAAAAGGACATACTCGTCGAGGATGAAGCATATTGAATTTCCCTTTGTCCCATTGCCCCATTGCTGCAGGCTATCACAAAATACATATGTAAACAACTATATTGGTGTAATAATTGGTTTCTTTCAACAGCAAATGTTGATGGAAGTATGTAATTTGGGAACAAATATGCAACTTTGGGAACAAACTTCTTCCAACAGTTGCCATTGATTGAAGGAACAATGAGTAAGGAACATGTGTGCTTAACACGGAATGTTTGTTTGCCGTGGTTAATTCAGTGAGGGGCAGTCAATGGATTTCGTTGATTGGATTTGATAAGGCAAACGGTAGATAATTTACACTAAGTTCATCTAAACTATGGAGAGAGAAAATTGTTTGAACCCGGGACCATGTGGGTAGAAGAGGAATGCCTTATCACGGGGAAGCAATGGATTCGTTACTATATTTGAGCTTCAAACTCGTACGGATGGATTCATAGAAACGTGGAGTATGAACCCTAAGAACAAATCTAATTTGTAACGTTATTAGTTCCTAAGATAACTGTTAATGTTTTTTTTGAACAAACAATATTATCTATATTAAGAAAGGAGGGGGGAGGGTGAGCTTAGCTTCACAATGAGTTAGTAATAATGTAGTTTAAATTCACCTTCGACAATAATCGAACCTAAGACCTCTCATTGCAAGTGAAAATGAATACAGTACTAAGTGGCAGATAACTGTTAATGTTAGTGCGGAACACTTAAAAAAGGAAAAGTAAACTCTTCATATCTTAAAAAAAGAAATACAATACTAAGTGCTAGTTTTCGTCAGATACTATTTGTGTTTAATTTTAAATAAAAAAAGTCGAATGATTTTTTACTATACGATACACGATAAATGATTAAAATGTGGAAATCCTAAAATGGATCTGGATGGGATCCAATTCCTCTCAAACTATTATAATGAGATTGATTAATAGTCGCGTTCGGTGGCAGTTTCTCTTTCGTGGTCGAATATGCTCAATGCCAGTTCAATTGAGTTTCTTTAATGCGGCGATGGCATTGAGAGAAAAATAATTATTTGGTTTCATTAAACAAAAGGCCTATTAGCTCAGCTGGTTAGAGCGTCGTGCTAATAACGCGAAGGTCGCAGGTTCGAGACCTGCATGGGCCATTTTTTTATTTATCTTTTGTTTTCTTTCTTTTATATTTCTTAAATATAATTCTCAAAGTTCATATACTTGTGTAAACAACCACCAAACCGGAAGAAGAACTCCATCTCATCTTCTCATCAATCCAAATCGCGTTCGAAGATGGTAATGATCTCTCAATTTCTCATCCAATTTTTCCATCAATTTTCACTGTTTAATTATGTTTCTCCCTCTTTTCATTAGGTTTGTGTGGCGTGTCTCTTACCGCTTTTCCTCGTCCCAATCGTCAATCTTCTGCCCCTCCTCTTCGATTTGATCATGGTAAATCCCTCACTTCCCTGTTTGGTTTCCGGGAAAATTTTGCATCACTTCAAATTAAATTTGATTCCAGTTTACTTTCTAATTGTCCGAATTATGGTTTCTTTTATCAGACGTTGAATTTTCTGTGCATTTTTAGGGAAAAATTTACCAGCTTTTCGGATGGGAGTATAGGAAGCCAGAAAGGGCTCCTCCGGCGTGCCCTATTAAGCCTGTAGCTAAAAAGGACACCAAAGTGAGTCTGAATTTTGAATTTTGAATTCTCTTTAATTCTTTATGTATAAATCTATATATGTTTTATCTGTATGGATCGTCCCACAGTTATGATCTTATCGGTTTCAATGTTTGTTGGGTTTTCTTGAAAGGATTGGTCTGGTAATAAATGGGATGCAGAATTTGTAGAACCTTATAAGAGCTTGCAACACTAGTAGCATGCATATTGATGTTTAGTATTCTATTAGAATGGTTTAGCCGTGTTTTTTGCATTTCACGATATCTGCATCTAGCAGGTCTTTTTAATCCTGTACTTGAACAAACAAACAGAAACAAAATGCCATATCAAGCGTAAATGGCGGGTTGGTTGCGGTTAGTATAATAGTTGAGGATCGGAGGTTGATTGAACTGGGTTTGGTGCTATGCATCAATGTGTTTTTCTGTTTTTCTCCATTTGGTAAGTCGATCACTCAGCACTGTTGTCTCAAACAAACATGAGGACGTATCTCCCTTTGTTATGGTGCCTTCGAGCTGATAAATAACTGAATCCTTATGGATGCATATAGCACCAGGAAAAGTAGTGAAAACTAGCGAGAGAGTAGTTAGCTGAACTTTTTGGTCATTGAGATCGTTAGGGTGTTAGTTGCATCAGATTTTACCAGCTGGGTTTTTTTTTTTTTTTTGTCCTGTGACAAGGAATTCTATCATCTAGTGACACTGGTGGTTGTTGCTCCTAGTTAGAGTAAAGAATAAACAGTGATGGTTTATATCAGTTGTGCAGGAAAACTTTGGTGTGTGAATCTTCGGGACTAAGATATGGACTCTGTTGTGTCTTCCTTGTGGTAGATAACTGTTTGTTCTCCATTCTTGGGGTTTGAAGTACGGGTGAGATCTTTATACAGTTGAAAGGGAGGAATGGATAATGGGTTCTGTTTATCTATCATGAAAAGAAATTCCCTCAACCAAGGAGAAAAAGTGGGATGGATAGTTGTTGGATACCAATCAGTGACTTCTTGATTTTGTAAAAAATCATTGGCCTTTACGTTTAAAGACTGAATTACTGCTTCCAGCTGTTTGTTAGAAGATAATTGTATTCAATGCAAGATTCAAGGAAATTATTGTCTTTAAAACACAGGCTTAGGCTATGTTTGGCATGCGGTATTTCCTAAGTCCGAAGGGATTGATGGCATGTTAGTGAGGGATGGATCACAAAATGTTGGATAAGAGGGATCAGAACTGCACCATATGAGCATTGTGGAGGCATGTAAGAGTGAGTTGTAAATGATTCCTTCCAAGTAGAGATTTGCAAATCCCACTCACATTTCTTTGTAATGCTCATATGGTTCATTTCTAATTCCTTCAATCTAATATGTTATATTGTTATTCATTCTGTACTAACTTGACCTCAGTCCCTTGGTACTTACACGAAGTCCCTCACCCAAACATAGCCTAAAGATACATTTCCAATCATGAAAGTGTACTTATGAGAGTTCATCACCAAACAATTTTCAGTTTGATTCTTGCATTACTAGCTTGTGAATGCATTACTCTTTGCTGGTTATTCTTGTGCTCGGCTTACATTAAACTAAACGCTTTGAAGTGTGATATTACTGAAACGCCACTTATTACTGGTCGTGATAGAGTGGTGGCTGTTGCTGAATCTTGCTATTTTAACCTCTGACTTACCTAGTTTTTGTGTGCCTCTTTGGTTGCTCTGGTTGTTTTCACAAGGATGCTTTGAGTGGTTGCTAAATTTGCATTTCCGTTTATTTCAGGTGAGTGAAAAAGCTGAATCTGGGCAACCAGGACTGTGCTCCAGAACCGGTGGGAGCGGAAGGCTTGAAGAAAGACTGATCCTCGGACTCTTTAGCTGTTATGTGCATGAACCTGACATATGTACAAGCATAAGGCCTTTCTTTTCTTCTCAAGAAAACAACATCCTCGATCAGCTGGTGTGACAGATGTGTAAAATATGTCGTTTGTTTCGACTACTTCGTTAAAGTTGGAAGGTTTGAACCTTTGCCCTCTAAGATGTATGAAATTATCGTAGGGGCTAAAATCCCGAACGTTTTGGACAGCCTTGTTTCTTGTCGTTCAATTTGATTATACAATGAGAGATGAAGAGGTAGCACAAACCAGTCTGAATTGGTTTTTAATCTTTACTTGGATTTTCCTTCGAATTTTCCTCTTGAATTAAACGGGAAATTTTAAAAAGTAACCAAAATTTGAATTCCATATAGAATTATAGCCTTTTTTTTTTTAAGTTTATGATAATTATAACCAAAAGTTGATATAAAAGTACTAATATACCCTTAAAATTAAATTTTCCTAATCCCATTACAGAGGTATGTAGGTATACAGAACTGCGTGATTTGAACACCAAACCCAAGAGCAAATCAAGCAACTGTAAAGTATAGCATCGAAGCCATTGCAGAAACTACAGAAGTGGTAGCAGCCTAGCAGGGTCTTGGGTTTGTGTATGAAAGCTTCGTCGTCCACATGTTTTGATGGAGATCTTGGGAAACGAACATTTTATTATTATTCGGTTAGAAATTGCAGAAAGAGTACAATTTTATTAAGAACAAAAGGGTAAAATTAATAGATTAATAGCCCAATAATAATAAAATTTGGGAAAGCAGATCCAAATTCCAGTGAAGAGATGGAGAAGTGTATTTTCTGATTATTCATGCATTAGAGTTGGATATTATTGGTCAAATAGTACATGAATTATGCAGCACTGGTGATGCAAAGGAAGCTTGACGATGCATGGTAAGGGTATATTAGTGTTTTTATATCAAATTTTGGTTATAATTATTATTAACTTAAAATGTTGGTTGTGAGGTCAAAATTCTGGTTATTTTTCCATATATTCCGAATTAAACCAAGATGCTTGGTTCGGTACAGAAAACTATATTTTCTTTTAAAAACCCGAACCAAACAGCCGGTTCTGTATTGTTTGTTTTCCGACATTTTGCTCCACCCCTAGCAAAACCATTAATTTGCTTGGGCTTTTAGGCGTTGGGCTCTTATTTATGGGCTTTGGGTTTCCATTATGGGCCAATAAAATAACAATTTGAGAGCAACTTGTTGGGGTATTTTACTACAACGACTTAGAAGAGTTTTTACTACAAATGATCCCTAAAATTAACTCATCTCATCAAAATGGTTATTGAAATTGAAAATCGATCAATATAGTCTCTTAAAAGCATTTCAAATTAATATTATCTTTCTGTTACAATTTTATCAAAATTTTTATTATGTGCAGATGCGGTCCTGTAAATCTACTTAACTATTATCGTTTGGATTAAAAATATTTAAATGAACACAGCAGAGGAGATAGCGACATAAACATGAAAGTCCCCGGAAGGACACCGTTGAGTTTTGGGATTAAACAAAGGAAAATGACAAACTATTTTTAACTAAAAGAAAAAACTGTAGACCGCCTTTTTGATAAAAAAATAAGTGGCTGTGTTTTTTTGCCCTCCATTGACTTGAAGAATCTACAAGAAAATATCTAGTTGGGATCCATCGAGTAGAGCCAGTGCAGGACAGATCAGCAAAGACCAGGACCACCGTCCGATGGAAAGCGACATTTTACATTTACAATTGTTGGTCCGGCAAACATGGAACACCGTTAGGGTTCATGATCTGTCATTCGTGTTGTTTTCGTGTTATACTTGATAGTTTAACGGGTCGTGTCGTTTAACATCCATTAAAGTAAACGGGTAATATGACCTGATCCGAAATCCACCCGTTAATATTATCAAGTAATATGACCCGATCCGTTACTTATTAAGAAAAATATATTTTAAATCAATAAAAGTGAAAATGAAAAACATAATTTAACCCAAAAAAATGTAAAACATAATATTAAATTAGTATATACATACTAAATTTCAGAGATGACCTCTTCATGAAAGTTGTAAAGTTTTTTATTACGAGTGATTACATGTTTTACACTTCTACAATAATTATTATTAATTTTGCACTCAAATAAAAAACACTGTTTATGAGATTTGAAGGGTTTCAAAAATTTAAATGATCATGTAACCATCTTCTAAGCGTTGAGGATGCAATTATGAACATTTATTATGCTTTCACATCTTTCAGACTTATGTATTAATGATTATGAATTTTGTTTATTTTGAACTCCCTTAAAATACTATTCATGAGAGTTTGTATGGTTTTAAAATTTCACACGATCATATACCCATCCTCAAAGGGTATAGGATGCGACTACGAGCATTTGCATATTTTTTCATATTTTTCACATATGTAAATTGATTATTATAATTTTTTTAATGTGTTTGATATTTTTAATTACTTGATATTTTTATTTTTAATGTGTTTTATGATTTTTATTCTCAATCTTTGCCTATAATATACTATAAAAATCAATAAATAAATAAAACTTTAATTTTAAAATAAAAATAGAATAATAATTAACAATATATACATATTCATTATATCTATTGTATTTTATAGTAAGTTTTCTTTAGTAGTTTAAAAAATTAAAATCATCAAAATAATTTTTTTTTCTTATCGTGTCGAAACAGGTTACCCGCGTGTCACTATCGTGTAAACCTGTTAATGACCCGTTATTAACGGGTTATTATCGTGTGACCCGATAATGACCCGATTAATTATCATGTTGACTTGAAACCTATTATTTTTGTATCATTTACGTGTCGTGTAAGAAATTGTTAGGTCTATTCATTGGTCATGCTCCAATATTGTAAAAAAAAAAAAAGGGAATTTTGTACGTGTATCTTCTAAACTTGTATGCATGTGTGCTAATACTACTTGTACTTTCAATATTTCATTTTTACTAACTAGAGTCTCTTAATTGTTAGAATTTAACATTTACGTTACTTTCTATCCAATTTTCCGTTAAACATGCTCCCCCGATGGAGGGATGATATTGTCAATTCACTTCCTATGTCTAGCCGGAATCAACTTATACTAAGTCAAAAGGCATTTTTTTTAGCATGTTGAAGTCAAATCATGAAGTGAAAGAGAGAAGTTTTTTATGGTAAAAATGTGAAAGAGAGAAGTTGATTACGTGCGTGTTTGATTTTGGCAAGGGTTGTTGGAGACTTGAGGTGAAAATTAGAAATAAATCTAGTCATTTATTTACAGTGGATTTTCAATATTTTTGTAGGTTGAACAAGTGGGTGTGCAATCCATCTTAATTTATTCAAATTTTAATTTTTCAAGGTCTAATGAAGGGAATTGCCAAACTGGGCTGTACAAACCTCCAATTTTGGAGCCATATTGATTAGGAAATATTATTTGGAGCCAATTTGACTCTAACCAATCTCATAAAGTTAATTGAATAAAAATATTCCTACAAGTGATATGTTTTAACAGCAAAATAGATGAAAATTAACGTAAATGTACATTTCAACAATTAAGAGAGTTCAGTGGTATTATCGCACATGCTTATAAATTCATGTAGTACTTGCCAAAAAATTCTTGTAAAAAAAATAATTTAAAAAACTTGACAAATTGGATTTTCTTTTAATTTTCTCGGAAGAAAGTGGGAAAATATATTATTTTTAAATTGGGAGGTTGGTGGGCAGTGTGTTAGGAATGGGGAAAGATGACTTTGCTGTAAAGGTAGGTTAAATTTTTAATGGTGACATTCAAACATAGCCAATGGCTTCACTGGACCGTTGAGTTGAAGCCCCTGCCCCGGGGTTCTGCTTGGGTTGGTGTGATTATATTTTCACTTACTTGCCTGCCAAGGGAAACCAAGATCAATTGTAGACTAAAGGTTGATGGTGAAAGCTTGTGAGGTGATGGTGATTTGAAAGGTCGAATATTTTGTTCAGCAGGTAATGTGAAATGAAAGTTGATGAAGCAAGTTCGATCTGTGCATGATATGGACAAGTATAATAAAACGCAGTTATTTTGGATTAGGGTTTTTGTATAATTTTATGTGGTAGGGTTTTGCAGCTATCTTTACAAAAAGGCAAAAATTAGGAAAATGTTAATGATGTTATAAATAAACAAAAGTTAGAGAGATAACTTTTCTAAGGACAAGAGCAAAGCAGGTGCAAATTATCACACTATGACTTTAGTAGTTATAACATTAAAAGGATGATAGATAAGAGAGGGAGGGATACTGATATTATTTCTCTTGCTTTCTTTCGCAGTACATTTGATAACAGACAGAGTGCTCTATTTATAGAGCGACTCTCGTAACTACAACCATCAAAATACAATGATGATACTTTTGAAAGTATCAAACACTATTACTCACTATTACTAAGTCTTTGGGCACTATTTTGAGTGGGCATTCACCCACTAATTCTATAACACTTCCCCTTGGATGCCTACATATCAACATCAGTTGTCTCATTAAAACCTTTGCTCGGAAAAACCCAGTGGGAAGAAACTATATCAAAGGAAAAAGAGTACAACTTTACCTGGATTGTTGATATAGTGTTAAGTATGCTTATGTTGCCTCGTTAAAACCTTGATAGGAAAAACTTTGTGGGAAAAATCCTAGTCAAAGGAAAAAGAGTACAACAAGCATGTATCATGGATGCTTCCCCTGATATTTATCTCCCCTCATTCTGCATTCTTCAAATTTAGTTAATTGGTAAGTCGATGTAATCCGATAATTTGTATTAACTTCTGAAATGTGCATTTTGGTAAAGACTTGGTAAACGGGTCTGTCAGATTTTCATTGGAATGGATTTGTCTGACTTCAATAACTTTAGCCTTTTGAAGCTCATGTGCACTGAAAAACTTTAGCGATATATGTTTAGTCTTATCACCCTTAATAAATCCTTCATTCATTTGGACAACATAGGCTGCATTATCTTCATGGATGACAGTTGGATTGTCTGTTTTCGAAGGTAGACCACATGAATTTCGGATATGATGGATCATTGATCTTAACCAGGAACATTCACAACTTGCTTCATGTAAAATAAGTATTTCTGAGTGATTTGAAGACTGTAGCAACTAATGTTTGCTTTGTTGAGTGCCATGAGATTGTTGTATCTCCATTAGTGAACACATATCCAGTTTATGAGCGAGTTTTATGCGGATCAGAGAGGAAACCAGCATCTGCATATCCAGTAAGGATATGGTCATTTGTGGATTTTCCAGAGTAGAAGAGACCCGTGTTTGTTGTCCCACGAAG